TGCTTGACTGTGTTTTATTGCCTAGGTAAATAGATATGATAATTTCTAGCCATAATCATTTCTTCTCCTCGGCAGATATATTTGCCTGTTGATCTCTATATATATTCTCGTTCTATTTTCTTCTGTTTTTTCATTCTTGTCGCTTGAGGGTTCTTCTAATACTGCCGTTTAGGTTCTTACTTAGTGTTCTTCTGGTGTTTGTATGTCTGTGCTTTATTTACTTCAAACCATGTTTTTTTCTGTACTGATTGAACTATGTGTTGACTTTTTTTTTTGTGCCAGGTTCTTCTGCCTTTTACACCATTGCCTGGGTTCTTCTTGTACTGCCGTTTGGGTTCTTGCCTGGGTTCTCCCGGTGTTTGTATGTCTATAAATTCTTAGTTTTTTTTCTCTACTAATTGAACTATGTGTTGACTTTTTTCTTGTGCCAGGTTCTTCTGGTTGTTGCTTGGGTTCTTCTACCTTTTACTCCATTGCCTGGGTTCTTCTAGTACTGCCGTTTGGGTTCTTGCCTAGGTTCTCCTGGTGTTTGTATGTCTATAAATTCTTTGTTTTTTCCCATCTCATTTTTTATGTTTGTATGTTTGTGATTATTTACTTCAAACCAAGTTTTCTCCTGTACRCATTGAAGATCACATTGCTAAATGTTTCTTTGAATGCCTTTATTTTCTTTATCTTTGTTCTTGTTGAAACTTTTTGAGTAAGATGGTGGTTAACTTGCTTGCTTGTGAAGAATTTATGTGACTGGTGTTCGCAAGGATTAAGCAAGAGGAGGTTAAGTCTTATAGCAATGTTTCCTCTTTGCTCTTTCCCGGATCATATGAGGGAAAGAAATACTAGAACTATTGAAAATTGATGCTTACATTCATCCCTTTGGAATGCCATTGACATGATAGATTCATGGATGGCAACCAGAAAGGAATTCGGAGAAGTTTCCTTTCTAAACTTTTTGATTAGCATTTTCCTCAGAGCTTTCTGAGACCCTATGTATATCATCTATTTATACATGGTCTATACTTGCACATGGTGTTTTCTTTTTGATTTGATACTTTGCTTTTCAAAAAGAATAAAAATGTAAACGGGTTTTATTAATGCAGGCCAAAGAGAAATATAATTCTTAGATAAATAAAACTGTTATCGGTTGGAAATCTGACTAGTAGTTAACCCATTCTTTAACCTCTTGACTAGCAAGACTATAAGTRAATGATTTAGCTGATCTTAGTATCAATCTAAACATGATTTTCTCTGCACATCTCTATACACTTCATGCACACTGATATTGGCATTCTATGATAGAAGATATGGTGTATTTTCCTCTTGTTTGTATAATGAATATTCTACTCAAGGAGGTCATGTGGTGTAAGTTGTTTGCTGATGATATTTAGTCTTGTACTCTTGTTTCATAAAACCAGAGAGGGGGTAGTTTAAGATACAAAGACATGCTTTATGATCAAGTGATTTTAAGATAAGTAGGAGTAAATAACATATACCGTGTAACTTAGCAATAATAGTAGAGAAGGGGTAGAAATAAGATTCATGACCAAGGATACTCCAAAGCATGCATTTCCACTAGCTTGGTTTGATTGTATTTAGTGGTAGTTTGGGAGGGCTTTGACACAGTGTCTTCTGGCTTTGTGAGGTGGGCTCTACACAGACAGCCCATAACTTATGTTTGGTGAAAAATCTGGGAAGCCCAATTATGGAGCCCGGATCTCCTGCCCACGTTTATCTTAGCCACACATGGAGAACATCTTATCCTCTGGGGAGATGTTCCCTATTCACAGGGGTGGTGTACTGTGGGTAAACGTGGGCAGGGTTCTTGTAGGCAGGAGATCCGGAGTCCCAATTATGATGTCATTCAGCTAGAAAATTGGAATTATGGTTAAACTTCTTCAAATCGGCTCCGTGAAAGCAGCTCAATCAAGGCGTAGGCCCTCCCAAATGGGGCTCTTAGGGCTCTTGATGGTATCTATTCAAGACAGGATAAGAGATAGAAAATGGGGTAAATCCTATTAATTTCTCATCATGTATGGTGTTCGTTGTTTGGGTGGCTTGGGTGTAGAGATGGGGGGTTGTGGTTTGATCTCCTGCTCATTAAGGGGTTGTTCAGGGTGGTAGTTTGGCTGTGTCTGTGGCTTCAAACTTTTCTCTGGGATGTGAGAACGGGGGCATTCTTCAGGCAAGGCACACACACCATGAAATGAGCCTTGCCTGTAAGCGTAAGTTCACCTGAGACATGCCTTTTAAAACATTGGATTATAATAGGGTGGGTGAAGTGGAGAGTTGCTTTTAGAGGCTATTGTACTATAAGAAATAAAACATCCATAAATATTTAGATGAGGATGTTGAGATAAATGAGTTGCAAGGCTGGGATGGATGCCTAGAGTTGAAAATTAGTGTGCTGGAGGGAATTTAATGTCAGCTTCAATAGGTGGAAATGGGTTAAAGAAGTGAGAAATACTTGAAGGTCTATGAATTGACAGAAGATATCGCTCTTGTTAGAGTGAAAATGTAACAGGATTCACGTTCTAGGCCCCCAAGTAGTTGGTTAATGGAATTTTTGAATTTGTAGGTAATCTGTTTTATTTGATGAATTAATAGTTTTTATAGCAACAAACTTAACATTTGCAATGTCAACATTTCTGTTTTCCTCAAATTCTTACAAAGTAGACTAAGGCTGCATTTGAAATTAGGCTTGCATATGAAAGCCTTTTTTTTTTTTTTGTAAAATTGCATATATTGACACTTGAATACAATTCTATGTTACTGTACTCAAAACGAAACATAATTCACAGAACAATCATAAATATTGCTGGGTAGCATAACATCATTCTTTTACATGAAATTTTTTTTGGTATACTTTTACTGGACATATTGGAAGCTTCTTTTTTATCATTATTCAAAGGTTAGAGCCACCAAAACCACAAAAACTTGATATGGAAAAGCATATGAGGAGGTTAAGTCTTATAGCAATGTTTCCTCTTTGCTCTTTCCCGGATCATATGAGGGAAAGAAATACTAAACTTTTGAAAATTGATGCTTACTTTCAAAACAAAGATGATGAATTTTGTGGGATAGTGTACACAGCAATTTTGTGGGGTCCAGGGTCTGATAGAAATGCGATGAATTTTCTAGCATATATTTTAATGAAAACAAACACAGGTTGAATAGTTAATTAAACTCATAACCTTAAGAGTTCTACATTGGGCCATCATCTATAAAGAATTTTCTGTCTTATCTCTTAATGATTTATTGAGGGGATGGGATACATTTTTGGAAGGCTCTGTTATGATTTTGAATCACTATTTATACTGCATATGTGGTTCACAATATGACTAAACAAAACCAATTAATTGGATATCTGTACCCTTGCAAATATATATAAACGCGCAACACTAAAGTGAAAACAACTTGACTATTTTATAATTTATTGAAACTATTATTTTTTCCCACCCTCGTTTACACATGTTTTTTTAGAAAAATATTTTACCTTCCACTTGCCCCTACAATGCAGGGGCCTCTCCGCTAGTATTCATATTAACATGGGATATGAGGAATGCCAAATTACATAATCAACAAGAACCAAGTACCTGAACTAGAAATTCAGTTCTTTGATGTATCTCTGGATCCTGGGAGAATTGTTGATCTAGAAATAAGTAGGCAACCTCCTCTCGCTAATCACAACTTCAGAATGTTCATGGATGGATCTGATCATCTGATGTTTGTTGGCAGCAGGAGGCTTTTTGCAAATGGAAGCACTGAAGTGGAGTGGTGGGCATTATTAGATGGCCTTAGGAAAGCAAAGGAGCTGCAAATCTCATCTATTTCTGTTTTATCTGATGCAAAGGGCACTATAAATACTCTGATAGAAGACATAGAAGACAGTGATGTAAAATGGTCAATCAAAGCCTTGAATGGCCAAGTAAAGTAGCTACCATAGTCTATTGTGTCTATAAATATAAAGTATATAAGTAGACAGTACAATACAACTGCTCATGAACTGACATATAATGCTAGTAAGTATAATTTAGAAATATGTAAAGAAAGCAGCTGTGGTGAACCTTGTAATTTCCTTTCTAATATATAATGTTTGCCCTTGGCTATTTTTRMAAAAAAAAAAAAAAAAAATAGTGTTACGTTTCATTTAACAAAAAGAATCATAAGCATAAATGGAGTACAGCTCTTACTACTTGGGTAAGAAATTAAAGGAACCCTCGGCGGTAGTCAATTGCATCCAGGAAAGAGAAAAAAGAACTATTATTCTTTCTTACATCTCTTAATACTTTGGGGACTTTCAGTCACAAATTGTTCAGATATGTTTTAAAAATTTAAAGAATAATAAATGGTAAAATTGATCACAAAAAAGGTAATTTTTATTTTAAAAAATTCTATGCATCACCTGGTGTCACATTTACAGATGATGAAATATTAACGGAAGATACGGAACTAACGCCAAGGGAGGATTTAGTCAATTTCCTAAAGCTCGTTTGGATCTATACTAACAAAAAAACCATTTAACTGGAAATTAAACCCAAGCTTAATTCCAATTTTGATTATGGTTTCTCTGTTACACGAATTCTAAAAACATTATAAAAATTTTCAGCCATTCACAAATACAACAATCACGTCTCCAACAAGTTAAAGCTCTCTTTCCTCTCCAATTTTGGAATTTGCAACGAATTCTCTCATCATGATCTGCAGATTTGGTTTCTTCAGCGACCAGACTTCTACTTCAATCAACTCCATAAAGTTATTGTCAAGTTTCATCAAAATATTGTCAACATTGACTCTATCAATAAAGTTCGAAGCTCGATTGACACCACCACAGTTATCACAATCGTGCTTCAACAAATAGCTTAGGCCTTCAGAGAGGACGATTCTATAAAGGTGATATGCGGTCATGCTCCACTATGTTCAAAAGTGATCATTATAAATTTCTAATTTAATTTTTTTAAATATTATCTTTTACATCAAATATTATACAGTTATACACATTCAAATATCAAAATAAAATAAATCAAATCATTGAAATGAGACGATGGAATTCCTAATCACAAGTGTTAAAGTTCAAATCTTCACATCCTCAAAGTATCTTGGATGGGGGCCCATTCCAAGAATTTAAAACCTTGGAACCAACCCTACCCAATAACAAATTGGGTATGATTAATTCAAGGCAGGTTCAAGCTTGGATCCATTTCTATTCCAGGTAAAACATACGCATTTGCTCCCTCCAAGATTTAGCGAGAGGGATTTGAATGAGAAGAAAAATAATTGTTTAAATTACATTTTCATGTCGGGATTAACTTCAAAAATTTGAATATTTTAGTCAAACAAAAGTTCCACACTCATTCACTTTTTATATAAACGAGTGTCAATGCATCCACGGCCAGTCTAGCTCACATAGGTCACCTGGGGAGTTGCCTTCATTGTCCTTCACATTTACATCTGCATTTTGCTTCACAAGAAACTTAGCAATGCCTTCTCTTTCACATACCGTCGCATAATGCAATGGTGTTTGGCCTTCATTATCCTTGCGATAGAAAGAAAACCAGGAAAATAAGAGTTGAGATTAGAGAAGGGGAAATGAGAATTCCGTAAATACATGTATAACAGCCTTCAACAAACCACCCAGGAACCTGCCAAAAAAAAAACATTCCACCCAGATACCCTCGTATGGAGGTTCATAGTACAGCACCACATACGCATAAAAAAACAATACAGTACCACACAATGAGAACATGATGGTTTGAAAGTCGGTGTTTGTTCAAGCAACTAGTTGTCGCCTACCTATGGTTTTTAAAACCGAACTGGTCAGAGGTCCGGTTACTGGTTCGAAGGGTCCGACCATTCAACCCGAACGGCTGGCCCATTCTGACGATGTTAAAAAATCAAAAAACGGGCAAAATCGTTCGAACGGTTAACCGACCGGTTCAGTAGTTTGTTGACCAAAATCAACAGTTTTGGGGAAAAACAGAACCAGTCAGGTGACCGGTTCCCAGTTTTTCCAGTCCAACCATCTGGCCGGTTCGGTTTTTGTACACGCAGCTTCTTTCTACCCCTCAAGGGCCCGCTCCTTATTTTGAAGGTTTTTTTCTTTCTTTTTCAGGGATGGGTCCTTCTCACTAATATGGTTTTTTTTTTGACAAATTCCTTCTCATTAATATGTTGAATTTCTATGTTTTTGATGATTGCTTGATTGTTATGAAATCTCGGGAACAATCCAATCAATACCTTCTTTAGAAAAACAGAATTTTCTAAATTTTCTTTTCTTTCTTCTTTTTCTTCTCGTGAATGTGTTGATTTCTATGGTTTAATGTGAAGCATACAACTTTTTTACGAAGATTATATATAATTACTGGTAAAAGATGGTCGCTGGTTGCTATGAACCTAGGGAGTTACCTGGGATACATGTTCTTTATTTTTTAAAAAAATGCATAGCAGACACCTCCTTGAAAACTGTTGCCCAGACACACCTTAGCACCTTGACCCTTGACAACTTTGTTTTTACCAAACTGTCTGATTGATTTCCTATTTGATTGCCCACCGCAGATCATCACCTTTAACCATACCAAATTTCCCAAAACCACCTCTAAAATCCTAGTTCCTGGAATTTTTAGAGTTTGAGTTAATGCAACATTCACAAGACCACCGCAAAGATTCATTAAAAGTTTCTTCCCTAAACATAAATTTTAGAATTTTCCATGTTTTCACCAAAGGAGAATCTGCACAGTGTCAGCAATTTGGCCTAAGATTTTACAACCCCAACGAACAGATCCCTACATTTATCCCTAAAATCACCCCTAACACCTATTTTAACAAACCAATACCTTCCTAGTCTGACTACCAATTCTGAGTTTGTTTTGTGCAGGTAAAGCTCTAACATATAAAATAACAGTTTTTCTTAAATAAACGAATTGGATAATTTGAGCATTGAGTAGTGCAAAGCTTGAAACAGTCATCCACTTATCCCCATACTTACTCGTTTCTTTGTACAAAGCCCTAGATTCATTCATCTTTTGAGAATAAGAAAGAACTGTCATGTTTTGATGTCACTGTCTATGATATCATTAAGAGGAGCATCATAAACTAGTATTCCCACTTTGGTTTATTTTATTTTATAATGTAAAGAAGTTATAAATTAGCATCACATGAGGCACACATCCTCTGGTGTGCATGAGAAGCATATGCCTTACATGAAGTGTACACATTTATATATGCCTCTATAGTGGAGACATAGACCCCATGCATGTTAAAACTTTTTATATTTGTCTCAGGGCATTTTGCCTGACTTTTTGATGAATAAGTAATTTTATTAAAGAGAATAAAGAAGAGTACAAACAGCCTTGGAGGAGGCTGTAGATGCTACCTCCGCTTTAGCCAAGGAATCCCGAGAAGCCCCTTGTTTAGCCAAAGAGTCTGCCAAGGCATTTGCTGATCTGCTGATCCACTGGAAGTTAATTGGCATATTCCTTGTGAGCCATTTTACTTTTTTCAGGAGATCTTTGTAAACTGCACTGTTCGGATTCAGCAGCCTACCCACTACCACCTTGGAGTCTCCTTCTACTAGTAAGTTCTGCACCCCAAGTTGGTTAGCAATCTGTAGGCCTTGTACAGCTGCTAGTATTTCAACCCTTGTTGAGTCTCCAACTCCCACCGGACCTGAGAAGAAAGAGATAATGTTGCTGTCCTTGTCCTTCAAGACCCCTCCAATGCCTGAGGGTCCTGGGAAGACCTAGACTTCTTTCACTGGGAAGATCCAAGGGGATGAAGAAGAGCAGAGGAACTAAAAAAGGAAGCACAAGTGAAAGCGCCATTCGACACCAAGGTCCACACTCTTTTATCTGGATTGGGAGGGTCCAAGCAAGTAGAACCCAACAATTATAGAAGCTCGGAAACACAAACAGATTCCTCATCAGTTAGGCCTCTACGAAAACCAAAATCCCAGGTAGGAGACAATGGGAGTATTGGGGGATGAAAAAACCTCGGAACAGGCTCCTTAAAAAGAGGGATAAAATAAAGGGAAGGAAAAAGATATTTTAAAGGTTGATTACCCACCCAAACGTCTTCCCAAAAAAGAACAGAGTTACCTAAGCAAACATCATACCTTACAAACTTAAGGAATTTGGGGAGAATGGGATATTGCCTTCCAAGGAGTAGTGAGTCAAGCCTGTCGAGATACCCCGGCATCCCATCCAGTTTCAGAACAGCGATGGATACTAGCCACCACTTCATGCCAAAGCCTCTCTCTTTCCACAGGCCACCTCCAGAGCCATTTGCCTGATAAAGCTTCATTTCTGTTAACTAAGTTCCCTTTTCCTAATCCCCCTTCTTCCTTACAACAGCTAACAATCTCCCATCTAATTAGGTGATCCTTTTTCTCTTCTCCTAGCTCCCATAAGATGTCCCTCCTCAGTTTTTCTAACCTCTTAGCTACCCTAGAGAATATCCTAAAAACAGATAGAAAGTAAATAGAGAGATTAGCAAGAGTAGCTCTAATTAAGGTGAATCCCCCCCAATGAGATGTAATTCTTTTTCCAAGCCAATAATCTTTTTTCAAACTTTTCCACCATAGGGTCCCACAGCCAACTCTCTTTTTAGCACCTGGGGAAAGCCCTAAATAGGTCAAGGGCCACTCAAAAATAGTACACTCTAAACAAGCGGCAATAGACTCCAACTCCCTCTGGTCTAAGTTTAGCCCTACCACAACTTTTCTCAAGATTGATCTTCAAGTTGGAAGCATTCTCAAAGAACGAAATTAGATTCTTTAGATTTTGCACTCTCATCACTTCAGATCCTTCACAAAAAATTATAATGTCATCTACAAACTAAAGGCGAGTTATAGGTAATTGGTTTCTTCCTATTCTCCAACCTCTTATTGATCCAACCCTATCTACAGTCGATAACAATCTACTGAACACATCGACAATCAGTGTGAATAAGAAGGGGGAGAGTGGATCCCCTTGTCTTAAACCCCTACAAGCTGGGAAGAAGTCATTTACTCCCCCATTAACTAAGACTGAATAGTGGCAAGAAGTAAGGCAACCATTTACCCATTTGTCTCCAAACCCGCACTTTCGAAGCACCTCTAGTAAAAAGCTCTAATCCACTAAAGTCGTAGGCCTTTTCAAGATCCAATTTGCATACAAAACCTCAAGATCCTGATCTTCTTGACTCCTCTACACACTCATTTGCTATTAAGATCTGTCTGCCTTCCATGGACAAAGGCACTTTGAGCTTCATTAATGAGGGAATCACCTTTTTTATCTACAACAACAAGACCTTAGCCAAGATCTTGTAGATACTAGCCACTAGGCTAATTGGTCTAAAATCTTTGGGAGTATGGCCTCTTTCTTCTTTGGGACCAAAGCTAAGAAAGTTGCATTGATTCCATGACTAATGACAAATCTATCTTCAAACTCTCTAAAGACCTCAAACAAATCATATTTAATTATAAACCAACAATCTTGAAAGAAGCCATAGTACACCCATTCGGCCCTTGTGCCTTGGATCCATCCATGGTAAATAAATATTGCTTGCTAGATTTCCTCCTCAAAATTCCTTTCCAACTAATCCTTGTCTTCTTCAAAAAGGTTTGGCCACTCCAAAACAAGCAACTCAAATCTACTTCCTAGTGGCTTCCTCAGAATAGATTTGAAATGATTAACAAGCAGTTGGTTATCTTCTCTTGAGAATCCAATTCCAATCCATCCACTTAAAGTTTGGTCACCAAATTTTTCCTCCTCTCATTAGCTATTTCATGGAAGAATTTGGTATTTCCATCACCTTCCTTGATCCACTTGTGTCTAGATTTTTGCCTCCAAGAGATTACTTCACGCAAGAGGATCTCTTCTAACTCCTTTTTCAGCCTACATCTTAGTTTTCTTTCTTGTCCACTGATTGTTCTAAGGGATTCCTTTGCATCCAGTTCCTCTATTTGGGACAACAAAGCTGATTTCAATTCCTCTGTTCTCCCAAATTGCTCCCTATTCCATTCTTTTAACTTTGCTCTTAGGCTCTTCAACTTTTTAAGGAATTTGACCCCTTTCCACTTCACCCCCCTCAACACTTCACTCCACCACTCTTCCACTCTCTTTAAAAAGTCCGGGTGTGTCAGCCACATGTTTTTGAATCTAAAAGGTCAAGGTCCACAGCTAAACGGTTCCTGTCCAAGTGCAATTGGACAATGGTCAGAAGTAACCCTAGCAATGCTTTGGTTAGCAAGTATTTCTAGTGGTTTTCCCAACTTTCATTAAATAGAAATCTGTCCAGATTGGAGCAAATGCTTTTTAAAACACTGGTACATCCTATGCTATTCCCAACTTCCACTCTCTTTCCTATGTCTTGCATGTAGGGGCACGCCCAATGCTTTTTAAAACATTGGTACAAGCACTAATCCAAGGAGAGGTCCATCTCATGACGGAAATTCAGGAACCTGAATTTATGTGAGCAGGGTTGGGTGGGGGCCTCAAAAGGAGGCCCGAAGTAAGTCTTCAATTTTCCCCTTTAGTTAGTCTTACAAAATATCTTTCTAGTCAAAGATCCGCCTTTTTGCGCATATATGCCGAGAAATGGAAGGAGAAGTAAGAAAGCATAAGATCTAACCCCTCACTAAAACCCCTCATTGGCCATGAACGAATTAAATAAAACAGTTCAGGAATCACCCAATTTGTATAACATCACCCTGAATACCCTAAGAAACATTTTTTAGTATTCTTCAGCTTATACATACTACAAAAGTAATGGAATTAAAATCTATCAAAAAAAAAAGTAATGGAATTAAAAGGTTTGGACAGAAGTAATGTGAGAGACCATGGATAACTAGATTACTACAACGATAGCAAGCTGAGTATGATGTAAAGTTACTACCAACTTTTACTAATCAAAAAAAAAAACACCGACAGTAAGCTACATATCTAGCTCATGCCTCCTAGAACTTGTGTGCATATAGGTGCTATACACATTTGTATGTACCAAAACCAATAATGTGAAGTTCTAGACAGAGACATCATTTTTTTTTCTTTTCGTTTCTTTTTACTTAGCAAGAAATAGCATGACAAACTGATAAAGTTTCACAAGAATAGCTAATAGTATGTAGGAGTGTAAGCAAGTCAAGCCAACGCGCGAGCTACTTGGGCTTGGCTCGCTAAATACTCAAACTTGGATCGAAGATTATCAACTCGAATCAAGCTTTTCTCGAGTCGAGTAATTAGTCAAGCCAAGTTTGAGCTTTGTAATACCCGGCTTGAGTAGCTTGCGAGCCTAATCAAACTCCTAATAAAATCTTATTATTCAATATTTTATTTATAATATAAATAAATATTGCTTTTTTATATTAATTTATTTATAATATAAATAAATTTATAATCAAGATTCAAAAAAAAACTGTTTATAATATTTTACAATATTGACTTATTTATAATTTTTAACAACAATTTATTTATAATTGGCTCAAGCCTAATCAAGCTTGAGTAGTTCACGAGTATTGACTCGAGTCAAGTTTGAATATGAAACTCAAAACTCAATCGACCTCCAAATTTCTTAATCGAGCTCAAGCTCAAGCCACCCAAAACTTGACTCGACTCAGCGTGATTACACCCCTAATAATATGCACGTTTGGACCAAACAATCATATCACCAATCAGATTGGTTTTACAAGTGAACTACCCAATAAATTTCCCAAATGAGATCCACTAGAGGTTCAACCTCACCACCTGCAGGTTGTCCATGCATGTATGTAAAAAGAGACCTTTTCCCAATTGATCTATAACGATGATGATAATAATGACCGTCACCATAGCTATAATTTGTGGCACATAACATAGAATCTAGACTTTGTTAGTTTGTTTCAAATATGTTTTTTATAGGAAACGGTAACTTTCACTAATTTGAAAACAGAAATACAACTGTCACCTACAGAGACATAAGGTGATCCCTCATCATAAACTAGATTACAAAATAGCCCAAAACAAAGACTCCTGATTTACTACTTGATTTGCTAGATTATCAACTAAAGCACTTGCTGACCTAGTCCATTTAACAGTTAACATGTGATCCCAACTCCCTTGTGAGGCTCAATAATTCCCTTACAAGTTGTCTAAGGGACCATGTTCCCAAGCTATTTGTTTGCAGCCAGCCTACTACTAATTTTGAGTCTCCTCCACTTCTAACTGTTGAATGCCCAACTGCTTAGCCAATATGAGACCCTGGAGGAGGGCCATCATTTCTGCTCTAAAGGAATCCCCACCCCTATTGGACTAGAATACATGGCCAGGATTCTTCTTCCTGCATCTTTAAACACACCCCCAATTCCAGAAGGTCCAGGGTTCCCAACAAAGCTGCCATCAAAATTTAGTTTCATAGCACACCGCAAAAGAGACCAAACTGCTTGTATGGTAGAAAAAGAATCAAAAAACCCTGCTATTACACTCCAATCTCTAGTCAAGTCATCTACAAAGACATCCCCGAACAAGTCTAGAGCTTTCAACCAATGTAACTGATTTTTCTTTCCATTGGAAAATCCTGTTATTTTTCTCTTTCAAAACTACCCACAAAATAGCAGACCCCCGTTGTTCTCCATATCACCCTTCCCTTTTTCTTTGGTTATCGGAATAAGCTAGGGTCAATGAGATCCTATACACTTGAGGGATGATTCCACTTGCAATCAAAGAGGGAGGAGAACCTATCCCAAATAAGAGCAATAAAAGGACAAGATATTATTATAGTAGGTGATTCATTGTCTCGCCTTCCTTAAGCAAAGGCTACAGACATGTGGGGATAAACACCAATTTGGTCTTTTTCTTTGAAGCACTTCCAAGGTATTAATTTTTTGAAGTACCACTTCCCAACAAAAACCCTTACCTTTGGAGGTACCAGATCACTCCATACTTCTTTAACATGAAAGGAAGTGACCAGGTTAGTAGGGAGCACCTGAGCATTAAAAAAGGAAGAACAAGAGAAGCCACCTGAAGAGGATTCAATCCAAATTCTACTGTCAGGACAAGACTGGTCCAAAAACATTGAGCTGAGAAGAGAAAATAATTCATCTGTCAATCCCACTTCTGAGTCCCTCAAACCTCTCCTTAGTCCCAAATCCCAAGACTCCCAGAAACATGAAAAGAAGAGATAACTTGAAATTTGTTCAAAGAGAGGGAATAGATGGTTGGGAATCTATCCTTAAGGGAAGAGTCCTTAATCCAAGTGTCCTCTCAAAAGAGAACCCTATTACCCAAGCAAGCATCATACCTGATGAAAGGTGAGAAAACAGGTAGGACACCAGCAATGCCTTTCCACAAGGAAGAGCAAGAAGCCCTAGGGTCGATTTCAGCATCCCATCCATTTGTTGCCAATCTATGAATGCTTCTTATCACCCTATGCCATAAACTTTCTTGCTCCTTAGGAAATCTCCACAACTACTTAATAATGTTGTGTTTGTTAGACAGATATTTCCAACCCCTAATTCCCCTTTGTCTTTCTTTCTAGAAACCACTTCCCAATTTACCCTATGGTCCTTAGAATCATCAGATTCCCAAAAAAAAACCCTCCTTATTTTTTCAATCCAGTCCACAATCTTAACAGGCAATTTGAAGGTAGACAAGAAATACACTAGCAAGTTTGCTAGTTCTGACTTAATTTAAGTGATTCTACCCCCTAAAGAGATGTAATTCATCTTCCACCTAAAGCTTTTTGACCTCGGTTTTCCTCCCAACGGTAACTCTAGATACTTTAAAGGCCAATCACTTACCTCACAACCTAGAGAACTAGCCAAACAAGCCACCTCTGTTTCTTGCTTATTGACTCCAGCTACACAACTTTTATTATATTTTACTCTCAAGTTGGAGATCTTTTCAAAGTTCTCAACCAGCACCTTTAGGTTTTCCTTTGTTTCAACTATGTTGAGTTGTTGACAAATTAATATCTGAAATTTTAGTTCATTAACTCATGCAGATAGTACCCATCTGTCACTAGAAAAAATTGACAGGATACAGTTTCCACCATTTTTACAGTCAACATAAAGAGCAACTTACCTTAGCATTTACATCAGCATTCCTGCTAACAAGAAGCTCCACAATATTGAGGTGGCCACGGTCTACAGCCCAATGTAATGGTGTCCGACCCTCTCCATCTGCAAAATATCAACATGACTGTTAGGAATGTGAATATGATTTCAAAATGTCCAGGATGGATAAAAAAAGTAATCAGCTGTTGATAACAGATGAGAACCGTGTATATAAAGTGAAAGGGTAGAGAACAAAGACACGTGCAAAAGGAAAAAAAAAAGAATGACAAAGCTAGGAACAATGGCGATTTACAAGAAATACATCAGCTAACAAGTTGTAGAACTTCTTAAAAAATTATCCAAATCACAGAAAGAACCACGAAACTTTGAGATAACCTAGGTTCTTGCTGCCCCAGATCCTTTGTTAGGGGGACAAATAATGTGTCCAGACGGTAACTTACTAAATACTAACAAAGCCAGGCTAAGAGAGATGACAGCCTTCTCACCTACAGTTTTAAGCAAACAGTTTTCTTCCTTTCTTTAAGATCTTCAGCAAGTCAACTAATAAACTGAATAGCATATATGCTATCATGTTTCACTCATACCCCACAAGAGGCTATCCTTTGGCAATCAAAGTAATGCCAGATTAGCAAATAAGGGATAGGGGATGTTAGTTAATATTCAAAATGCAGGGGAAGTTTTAGTAATTGTTAGATTGTTAGGGAAGCTTAGACATGCTTCTCTTCTCTATTTTGTAACAAACCTTGGAATGTTGCTTAAGTGTAAAGTTAATGCTTGCATACTAGGATGATGGAATTGCTCGACTGTTGGATGCAATGCATGAAGTGGTATGATGAGTTGCTAAAGCAAACGTAGTGTTACTAAATAAGTTACTACTTAGCAAGAAAGCTCATGCATACATGGGCATGAGAAGTAAAAATTAAGAAAAAAATCAAATGAAAGATTTGTGGATATGATTAAATATATCCTACTAGCAAGAATGCATCTGCACAGGCATGAGTGTTGTTTCGTTTGCAAAAGAAACACTTCCTGTGGGAAATCACTATATATAATTACGCCTCCCGTGTGTGATGTAATTAAACATTTAACAGATTATTTGTTTTAATTTTTTTATGTTCTAATTGCTGGGGCCACAATTATATCATGGCCCCCATTGTATACAACTATTTTTTAAGTCTAAAAGAGGGGGAAATATCCCTCTTTCGAACCCAAACTTTAGGGCTCAAAAGAACTCTGAATTCCAACATTCAACCTGCAACTTCGACTTCGAGAAATCTGGTATAGAACTCTGAAGTGTGAAACCTCTTGCTAAGTGTGAACTGCGAAGAAGCTCTACTCTGTTCCAACGTTCAACCTGCAACTTCGGCTTCGAGAAATCTGGTCTGGTATCTGTTTTCTTCTTCTTCTTCTTCTTCTTCTTCTTCTTCTTTCGCACTTTGCAACCTGCAACTTCTTCTTCTTTCTTCTTCTTCAAGCAACCTGAAATTCCTCAGATGTGATCTTTTTTTTATTCTATTTTCAATTGCAATCGAACTATTGAAGAGAGGTTGCTGCTGGGCCAACCAACCTGGGCAGCTGTGAATGTGACAAAGCTGCAACAGTTCTTTTTTTTTGGAAATAAGCTTCAACATTTAGTAACTTGGTACTTAGTAGTTATGTTCTTCATTTCTGTATTCTGTTGTTTCTTTGTTTCTTTGTTTCTTTTTTTTCTTGATTTTAGTAGTTTTGTTTCAGCCTTCTTGAACAAAGCTGCATGAATAAATTATGTAATCTGTTGAACAAAGCTGCATGATTTTAGTAGTTATGTAATCTGTTGATTCTGTTCTTCCTATTTTTTTCTTTTTTTTTAACACATTTAATGGACCAAATAGGCCAAGAGGCCCAAGACCCAACTGTTGGCTGTAGCTTCATCAGTTCAGCCTTTTATTGATTTTGCTTCTTTTGAATTTGACAAATGATTTATTGATTTTACTTGTGAATTGTAGAAACTGAATGCTTATAGTCTAATAGAAAGTAGAAATCTGAATTAAATGACAGAAATTATAATTTGTGAATTTTAACTAATACTCTTTTTTTGTTAATTTAATTAGGTGCTGCAATTTGATATTTTGATCTCTTTGATCCCTATTTCATCAAGAACCTAGAATGTCTAGAAAGGATTTTGCTTGGGAATATATTAAATAAGAGGATGGGAAAAAATGTTATATTTATTGTGTATTTTGTAGTAAATTGTGCACAGGAGGCATAAACCGATTAAAACATCATTTGGCTGGTACCAAACATGGAATGAGTGAGTGCAAACAATGCCCTGAAGAAATAAAATTAAGATGTCGAAATGCACTTACCGAATTTGAAGTGGAGAAAAAGAAGAAGTCTGATATTGTGGCTAGTGTTGGGAGGTTTAATCGTACACCTATGACTTCTCAACATGGGAGTTGTATGGCTCCTAATCCTAGATTTGAGGAGTCTATTGTGGGAAGTGGGACTGCACAATCATTTTCACCACGACCAGTAGGCCCAATGGATCAATTTGTTTCATCTGAGCCACGCCAGCAGACTTTAAATTCACAATGGAAAAAAGATAAAAAAAAAAGATGTTGATAGGGCTATTGGAAGATGCTTTTATGCCAATGCATTGTCTTTTAATTTGGAAAATAGTCCTTATTTCAAGAGTATGTGTGAGGCAATTGCAAATTTTGGTCCAGGTTATAAGCCTCCATCCATGCATGATCTTCGCACTAGGATCTTGAAAGAAGAAGTGGAGAATATAGATAAATTGATGGAGGAGTATAGAAAATCATGGAAGGACTATGGTTGCACGATTATGTCTGATGAATGGACTGTTGGAAAAAATAGGTCCATTATCAATTTTCTTGTTAATAGTCCAAGTGGGGCAATGTTTTTGAAATCTATTGATGCATCAAATTCAATTAAAAATGGTGAGCTTCTTTTTAAATATGTTGATGATGTTGTTGAAGAAGTAAGAGAGGATAATGTGGTTCAAGTAATCAAAGATAATCATTCAAGTTATGTGCTTGTTGGAAAAAATTTGATGGAAAAGAAGACAAAATTGTATTAGACTCCTTGTGTTGCACATTGTATAGATTTAATGTTAGAGTCCATTGGGAAGATGAAAGTTTTTAGTGAAACAATTGAGAAGGCAAAGCAGGCCACAAAATTTATTTACCGCCATGGATGGGTTTTAAACTTGATGAGTTTCACAAAAAACTAGGAGCTTTTACGACCAGCAATTACTCGATATGCCACTGCTTACTTGACATTGCAAAGCATTTATAAACAGAAGCAACCTCTTCAATCAATGTTTACTTCTGAAAAGTGGAATGGAAGCCATTGGAGTGAGCATCCTGTGGGTGTCAAGGCAAAACAAACTATAATGTTTGATAGCAGATTTTGGCCTCAGGTGGCATTTTGTGTAAAGACCACTTTGCCTATTATTGTAGTGTTGATAGAAGTTGATTCTGAAGTAAGACCCTCAACGCCTTATTTATATGAAATGATGGATTCAACAAAAGAGCAAATTGCATTTGCTTGTAGTGGGATAAAGAGAAAATATATGCCTATTTGGAATAAGATTGATGAAAGATGGACCACTCAACTTCTTGCAACAAGCTATTATTTACACCCACAACTATACTATGAGCCAAATTTTTCGAATGATCGTGAAGTAAGAGAGGGATTATTTGAATGCATGAAAAGGATGATTTCTAATAGGCATGAGTGTGCCCTAGCAAATTGCAGTTGGATATGTATGATAAAGCACTAGGAGATTTTGGTTGTGACATGGCAATTGATACGAGGAAGAGGTGATCTCCTGGTAAATGGTTTATTTGTTTGATAAAGCACTAGGAGATTTTGGTTGTGACATGGCAATTGATACGAGGAAGAGGCGATCTCCTGGTAAATGGTTAATTTGTTTGATAATTAGTATGCAACTATGCATAATTCTTTTTTTTTGGATATTTTAAAGCTTTACTAATGTCTTGTTAAATGATATTTTTGTAGTTGATTGGTGGGCATGATTTGGAACCCAAACACAGAGTTAACAAAATTTGTTATTCGAGTTTTGAGTCTTACATGTGCTTATGGTTGTGAAAGAAACTAGAGAAACTTTGAGAAGGTAATTATTTATTTTCTTATTTACTTTTTAGATTTTTATGTAATAGTTGTGTTTTGTCAATGTTTTTAATAATATATATTTTGTCTTTGTAACTAGATACACACAAAAAAGAGAAACAAATTGGAGCAACAAAGGTTAAATGCTTTATTTTTTGTGATGTATAATATGAAGTTGAGGGAAAGAAACATGAAGAAGAGGGCAAGTGCAAGTATTGATCCCATTTTGACACAACATTGGAGGAGGAGGATGAATGGATTACTGAAATTGAGGATCCAGTTCTTCCAACCAATCCTCCTTGGGTGGATAATGACTCTGGGCCTTGAAATTGCCGCAGTTGAGGTGGTTGAAGATGCAGATAAAAATTTAGTAGAGCCAATAGCCCCTACCAACAAAGAAGGATCAAGTGGAAGAAAGAGGGGCTCAAGTGATAGTGGCAACAAGACATTTGATCGTAGAAATCAAAAGGCTCAAGCTACTGAATATCAAAGTAAATAATAATTAGTGATATTCTTCTAGTGGTCCAATTAATTTTCTAGTTGAGGATTATTGAGTGATGTGATAATTGCAATTGGATTTTGTTTGTAGGGACAAGGAAAGGCAAGAGTGTTGAACTAAATTTGATTGATGAGGATGAAGATGATGAAATAGGGAGAAATGAACCATGTGATGTGGATACAACTCTTGAAGCAAATAATGATGCCTTTGTTATTCTAGAGGAAGATGATTTAGTCTCTTGACTGAGTTTTAGTCCTTAGATTTTTGTTTTTTTTTTGTGATCTATGCTTCATACTTGAATCAAGAATTGTATTTCACATTTTCACTATGCTATACTGTTAGTTGGTGTTGAAAACTTGAGATTTAGAACTCAAATATTGATTGAAATTAAGTCATTTTAGTGTTATATATGCTTTTATGCTTAAAATATCTATTTTTTATTAATATACTCACTATAATTATAAAACAAATACATACTTAAGGCTTACGCCTCATGCCTCCGGGTAGTGGAACACCTCGCGTCACGTCACGCCTCCATGTTTTGAAACATTGATATAAAATATTGATATATATATATATATATATGCATTTGGTTTAGTAGCCATAGGAAGCTGTTCCTTAAAATGTAGGTAAGAAAATAAATGGGCTTTAATGTGAAAGAAGTAAGGATGTTTTAATTAATAGTTTGGTATCATTTGAGTAAAGCACAGATAGGTAGTTTCTTTAAATTTTTTTTTAGAACTCAGATGGTTCATGAAGGAATGAAACTTAATGGATAAATGATGGAAGGGAGGTTGTAGTATGCAATGCTAGCTAATAGGGAAGGTTCAGTAATATCAGAACAGCAGGAGAAGTATTATTAATTACCAGGTGGTTGAGAGAAAGTTTATGTAAATTTACCTAAAAATATCTAAACTCATGAGATGAAGAAAAATATGGATCAAAAGACAAATACAGATTTTCATTAAGTTGGATTTTGTTCAGCATAGGCTGCATGGCAACTTAAAAGGAATAAGTGACCTCAATAGATAATTTGCCAAAAAAGTAGAACAAGACATCCACATCAAAAATTCCAGACCAGACCTTAAATTCCTGTATCTTGTTTGTTCCATCCTTTACCTACTAGAATCAGCCATTTTCTTACCAAAAAGGCAAGACCCAAATTACAAGAGTAAAATAGAATAACAGAAGTGGAAATTCCACATGAGAAATGTAATTTTCTGTCAGTAAAGATGGTAGCATACCCCTCAGATCAACTGGAACACCATTATCCATATATTTAAGCAAGTTATCCATCTCTCCTTCTCGTGCAGAGGCATGTATGGCATCCATCTTCCTGGAAAGGGAACTTATTAGGATTTCTTGTAATAACCCGGTACATGCTACATACTATATTAAATAGCAAGAAATAGGACCATTATACATGAGGGAATGTACAAAAACAAAATACAAACATGCAGTCCATCCTGCTTGGTAGAGAAAAAAATGCCATTTCAAATATGAAATAATGCTTAAATATAGCACCAACTATACCCTACCTTTAAAGAAACTAACTTTATTGATAATGAAGATAAAATTCATTAAAACAAAAAATAAAATACCGAGAAAGGTGATAAGAAATCACCTAAGGAAAACAACTACAACAAAAACAAACAATAACGCCCCTCACCTATAATAATGTCACTCTTGCTAGTTAGATAAGACTAAGGCCCCATTTATTTGCAGAGCAATTATTTCATTTGAACTAGTACAAACGCACGAGAGTGCAAATGAGAAGAATGCAAATTCTGGTTCATTTTCGCTTCAGGTTTTACTTACATTACTTTGATCAAGGTTTCATTTTACTTCATCTACAATGCAAACAAACAAAATATGGTAAAAGCTAGATAAAAAATCAGAATTTGTAATCAAATCATTTGTACTCCCTTAGTTTTGCACTAGTGTGAATGAAATTGCATTGCAAACAAACCAGACCCAAGTAGCCAGGGAACGGGGGGGGGGACAAAACATGGAGAAACAATAGGAAAGCTACAAGCAGAAAATGAGGATCATATTAATTAGCTTCAATGGTGCCTCCTGTATAAGTTCTGCTCCCCCACCTCACTCCTGGCTAGCGGACCAGTTCAAGTCGTAAATGAACCGATAGGCGTTGACAAGTTATTTGCCACAGGCACATGGATATATAATACATTTGACATACATGTGTAATGATCAAAATAAAAGCCTTTATCACATACAAATGCAGTATTACATATTGTACCCTTTTATCAGGAATAGTAAAACTCATCTTACAGTAAAATAATATAGAATATTGAACATTAACAGAAGAACTCCATTGACAAAGAGGTAACAAAGACTCTTCACAAATAAACTGAACAACCGAAGAGTTTTTTTTTTTTTTGATAGATAAAACAATAGAAGAGTTGTAAAGAACATTACAATTCTTTTTCAGACTCCTCTTCATAAATGAAGGTGCTGAACACTGGGCCTATTGTTCCTTTAGCATCTGAAGTAGAAGCATCAGTACCTCCATCTCTACTTTTCTAGTTATGAGCATATTGGAGCAATAGAAAAGGGATAAGTGAAGAAAACTCTTCAAAATTTAAATGTAAAAAAATCGGAACACCAGAAGAAAAACATGCATGTAATACTGAAAGAAAATACTCACAGCCACGGAACCAGTTGCCCAAGTAGGATATAGATCAGTAACAATCGTGATATACTTCTGCATTGCTTCTTCTGGAGGCATAGCACCCAATTTCTGCCATGCATGCCTTGCACATGTCACCAAAAATTGATATTTGTATCACTCAGCCATGCAATTTGTAATTCTAACGATAGAAAGTATCCATTTATCCAGCAACAAGTAATAAACCAAGAAGAAAAAAAAAGAACTAGGCCAAACAAATGCATGTGATGTTAAGCCATAAAAGTCCCAAGCAACAAATAAATTTAAAAAAGAAAAATATGCTATCAACTTCAGTAATGAAAGCATGCAATTGCAAAGCTCACCCCATCATTGCAGCGCAACTATTAATATTAAGCAAGGTTCTCCAACCATTAAAAATCTATTAACCAGTACTTTCTTTATCTTACAACTTCTTCCAGTTGATCAATGATGCCTAAACTCAGCAACAAACATACAAAAGTCGGTGCTAGATGCTTTTTTTTGAAAGGTAAGGTAAAATTGCATTGATGTGCTCAAAAGAAGTATACAAGTATGTCAGTTCACTGTACAAAAAGGCTCCGTACAAATGACCACCATCAAAGCCTCCCAAAAAAGCCCAACAGCCAAAAAAAGAACAAGATAAAGGGCCATCCTTGAAATGCAGATTAATACTCAGCAATCCTCTAAGGTTACTAATGATTTGATTAATCAGCACTTCTTCTTGATTTTGCTTTTGATCAAAGATGCTTATGGTAATTGGTAATAGAAATGTCTAACAATGTCAGTGCTAGATGCTTATGGTAATAGAAATAAATATCTTTTAGGCAAAAACAATGTAGAGACAAGGAAGAAACTGCGCTCTATATATTTGCAGAAAAAATTGGCACTGTAGGTAGCTAAACTAGTGATTTTCAAGGAATAGGTACTACTATAGGCAATATAAGGGATTGCATTCAAGATGGAGATTGGTGCTGTACAGACACCTGAAGTGTATCATTCTCAATTTCATATTTTATTATGTCAATTATGTCCATCTTTGGTAGTTCAGGGACGAACAAGGATCAAAGCTCCGAGGCTCTCACAAATAAAGCTAGACCATTATCAACAAAACCTTCACTAAAGAAGTATCCAGTTCCGCCTCCATGGCATATTTTTCTTAAATGTGCAGAAACCAGCTACCCCCAATTGAACATTTTGTATCACATTGCTAATCATTAAGAAGGCATTGAATATTGAAAAAGCACAAATAAAAGATAGGGAGAATGACCAATCAGCCCAGATCAGAATTTTATAGCCCCAAAGTACAGGGGGAATGCATCCTGACCGTGAATTGATGCCGAATTCACGGGCAGGATGTGGTTTATAGGGGGGAGAGGGCTAGTAGTAGGGGGGGCTGGAATTCAGATTTCTGCATCGTGTGTATCCGTACTTCTCCGTAAAAGATACGCCTACTGATCGTTTAAAAAAAGCTGCACGTATAAAACCGATAAGAATAAATGACAACGGAAGCAGAGGAATACCACTTGGCACGAGCCGAAATCTTGAGGGCAGAGGGCTGCGGCGTGTTGCAAGGCCCCTCAGTGGCAATCTTATAGAGCCCATAGAGCTGCAGCTGAATATCATTAGAGACCTTCTGCGACAGACGATCAGCAGCAGCAGCAGCTACAAAAGCAGTGGCTGCACTAAATGCTTCATCTAGTTCTGTACTTTCAACCCCTTCCCAATCATCATCGTCTTCTCCCAAAAGGCTCTCACTCTGTACTCTCGGTTGCTCAGAAGCTCTTTGATTCTCTTCACGAACCCCCGACTTCTCATCGCCGGGAATGCCAGCTTTAGCGGCAACGAATTCTTGTTCAGTTGTCCTTTCAGCGTACGAAGGTGTTGGTTCAGATTCGACTGGTATAGCCGGTAAATCCTCTTGGCGCGCCACCCTAAGGTTCTCGTCTCTAAACGATATGACCATGGATATAAGCTTTGCGACAAGGAACGAGAAAATGAGGCCTATGAATACCGATTGAGCTAGCTCCTGCCAGTCCCCCATGGCGACCGGACTCAAAAAGAAAACAGAAGTGAACCGAGATTACGGGAACTGGTCAGATGAATGACAAGAAACTGCGAGAAAGGGAAAATAAATATTAAGGAGTATGGGGTAAATAGAGCAGAGACTTTAAAACGCTTCAATGAAGAAACAAAAATCTCTAGAAATTTGAGAGAAAGTCAATCGCTCTGAAAAGATCCTGTAGATTTTCAGAAAGCGAACAGAAATCCTATGAAAAGAAATGCAGACACAGATAAAGGGGGAAAATGAGATAAATAAAAGAACAAAAAAATCAAAACAAAGTAAAACAGTGAAGTAGAAACCCTAGAAAAGCTCAAAAAAGAGGATAAAAAACTAGAAATATACAGAGACGCAAGCACAATCTTAAAAACCGAGCACTCGAGAAAATTCCCCGGAAATAAATAAAAGCATAGACGATAATCCGCCAGATAAACTACTTAATTTTGGAAGCGTATGACAGGAAAAAAATAGTCTTTTCGTAAACACAAATACAAAATCAAGAGAGTGGAATGGAAATCCCGAGTTCCAAACGACGAACAGATAGAACATAAACCCTACAAACCTGGAACCTATCGATCGAATAAATAAGACATTTCTCTGATGAAGATGAAACGAGGATGCTTGCGTGGGATTTCAGTTGAGTTTATAAAGCGCCGGACGAAAAGCGGCTCCCATTAAAAACTCGCGCCTTATATAGTTGACAGTCGTTATCATACCCGTTTCGTTGACGAGTGTCTCGAACTTCGATACTGTAACCTACGGCTGCATCCAATGGGATACAGGTAGAAGATCCAATTATCCAAATTCGATTTGTTTCACGTATTTCTGTCGTTCCCCCTAAGAATCACGTTTGGTGCAACCCGGTTGCCTATTCTCGTTGGGAATCGGAAAGGTCCATTCCCATAATGGCATAATCTATTTGGTTTAGAATAGAAACTAAGGGTGCGTTTGGTGTGCAGATAGGACCGGAATCAGAATTCCCAGAAATCAGAATCGGAATCATCTATTCTTGGCACCTGTTTGGTTCAGTCAGGAAATTTGATTGTTGCTGTGTGGTTCAACTAGAAGCTGGAATCGGAATCAGCAAAAGTTTTCAATTCTGCCTCTGTTAAAAAAACCTCAAAAGCATCCACTAATTATACATTTTCAAAACATCCACTAAACAAACAAAAATCACAAAAAAAAAAATCATTCTCCACCATAAAAATGAAAAAATGTACAATAATTTCTCACAAAAGCCCATCTACAAAAATTGACCCTTCAGAATTTGTAGAAAAATGGATGACCCTTCACCAAAACCCATCTATGCGGAGTTGCATAGAAAAAATAACATTGCATTGCTGCCACAATTCATGCGATGCAGTAAGACGGTGTCAAAGGTGTTCATTTATCCTCTCTTCCAGCATGACGAAAGAACAAAAAAGAAAAAACTATACGCTTGTGTCCATGCATACATATGATATATCTCATCACTGTTGTCCCCCTCAGGTTGAAAACCAAGAAAGCCATGAGTCACACAAGTTGAATGTGTAACCTGTGGAACAAAATCAACTTGTATCAGTCCATACAGAATCTATGACCCAGCATACCTTGTTTTCACATTTATTTTTATATCAACAGTAGCTACAATATAAAGTTTAGCAACACTTTTGGAAGCGTTAGGTAGAAAAGAATAGATAGTAGACTCATTAGAAATTCAAACTTCAAATAGTAGACTCCTTGACACAATTTAGGCTGTCATCAAAAGAATGAGAAAGGAATCCTGCAGAGTCCTTAATGTTAGCAGTAAAAGGATACTAATAATTTTGTAGGTTGGGCCCAAAACCCATGGACCTCATGCATTTAAGCATTTTGCCCTGCACATAGGAAGTGACATTGGGCAGAATCATACATGAATTTGAATTCTTCTATGTCCACAGAGAAAACCTAGAATTTGACACTTGGGTACCTATGGGCATCTAAAATCACATGGGACTCGAACCTGTTTCAACCTGATATTTGGTCTGACTAATTTCCATGGTTGGACTCATTCAATAATGGTTCCTATCCTTTTGAGTAGGGGATTGCAAATTTCAAACTATTGGCCCTTCTAAAGGTTCTATGGTCCCTATCCTTGACCATTCTGGATATCGGCCCATACGGGGAAGTTCCATATAGTTCAATTCTAGGATATGGGTCAATATAGGGAAGTTCCCTCATGAATTGCTACACCAGGTCCTTCACCATTCTCTATAATATGATCATTCAACTGTGGCCCAAGATGCCACAGAAATTTACGGGCTTAGGGAAAGTTTGCTTCATTCTGTTATGGTCATGGTTGTAATAAGAGATTCTCAAGGGGAATAGCATTCACAGAATTGAACATCCAGAATGCCAGCATGTTTACGTTTGCATATCAGAAAGTTAGAAGTGTACGATGAAAAACTATTTTTTTTTTAATATGAGAAACTTTTACCTAAAAGAAAAAGGAGTAAAAACATAATATGAGAAACTAGTCCCTACAAATTACAATCACTGACTACAGAGTTTTTAATCATTAACACCAAACAAAAACTATTTTTTTATAAAGTTCACACTATTAATGACTTAAAATTTATATTCTGAAATTTGTAGCTATTTATATCAGCAAAACAAATCCATTTAAATATTGATTGCATTAATATGTTTAAATAATGAAAGAATATGTTTTAGACAAGAAAATTATATCAACAAAACTAATTGTTGATTGCAACAAAGGGTATTAATAGCACCAGTTAGGAGTTTCACCAAATACTCTAAAAGAATGTTAAGCTAAAATATGCCAAGATCAAAGTAGTGAAAAAATTATTTAAAAACTTGTGATGAATGACAGTAAAACAGGATCAATGTAGACAAATTCAGGCTACATCCAAATCTTTTACTAGGACAAGAATTGACTAATAGTAATACATGTGTATGAATGAAGTAACCTTGATTATTAAACAGAAACAGTCCATACAGAGGAGATAAGTGTGAGGTTGCCGGCTGACATTTCTGTTGTCTGTCCACTCATGGTTGAGTTCTATCATGATAGATAACATAAATTCATAATGCAAGATGTTGCATGAATTCTAGTGCAGGTATATCCCCAGGAGTCAGATCCATCATCCATCTGACCCCAAAAATATTGGAATACAAGGACTTAGCTAAATGCAGATCCAAAAAGGGAAATATTAAGGATAAAACAAAGCAAACAAATCAGCTTGCAACATAAAAACTAAATGCAAAATCATAATGATGTATAAGAAATCTACTTTTTATGAGGTCTAAGAGGCATTCTTGCTTGGGCATTATAAAAGTGTAATGCATCAGTTAATAATTTATGTTTAATTTGTGTCCCATTAAGTAGAACAAAATCCAGATCCATCAAACTCTGGCAATGAAAACAAAAACCAAAAAAAGGCACAAGTTTGGGTATTCATTACATATTCCACGTATCATGGACAAGTGAGAAGTCAAGTTATCATAAGCACAATTGACCAAGGAGAAAGCAATAGTTCAAATGCTGCAAAATTATTTATGTTGTCCATTTGGTGATCTAAGGTCTTGTTCTCCAGTGAACCGTTACCATTAAACCATAAAAAGTGGTGTGATGCCTTAAGGTGATTGATTCATGCTGTGTATGATACCTACATTGTTTTTTGGGCGGGTAACAGTGAAAAATATAGCATTCCTTACTAACTTTCAACACCCCATTGCAATTGATCCCTATTCACCCCTTGTTTTGCCAAGGTAGACAAAAAGCCTCATTCAAACATGGGGGAAGCCTATTCCAGACAACCTTCCTACTCCTAGGTCTTCTAGTTAAGATTCCACCAAACTAGTAGTACACCATACAAAGCTTGCAAACTCAAAATTGGATCATGTTTACTTGAGATAATAAGGGGATAAAGGGCCCAAAAGAGAAAGGGGGAAAGAAATGCAGAAATAGATTTTGGCAGAATAAATATCTTACCTCTACAAGCTGCTTATCAATCATTTCAACACCTTCCATAAGTGTTTTCATAAGTGGTACAGCTCCAATGGTGTCTTTGGATGCATCAATCTTTGAGAAGCTATCTTTGACGACTAAGGAAGCCCTTCCAAGGTTGTCTGCAACATCTAAAAGGCTCTTTGCAAAGCTCTGTAGTACATTTCATATAAAGACCACCATCAGAGCTTAAATATACCACATAAACATAGCCAAATATTTTGATAGAGAAATCCATAGTGCCGTTTGAAAGATCATTAGCCACGTAGAGGTCAAAAGTAGCCACCAACCTGAATAGCAATTTTTTTAGAGTTCTCTGCTTCACGTTTTGTTTTATCCATTACATTTTCCATTTCTGCATAAGTACGGAGAACTTTATCTTGCATTTTCTCAATCTCCTTGTGCTTCACCTTTAACTGTTCTTCATTCTTGGCAACGAGTTTTACCAAATCATCAAAAGAGGGCTCCTTTTCATCATTTGAATCAAAAAATGCAGTATATTTAGTTACTCTCCTCCTCTCCTCTTGATAGATTAGAGGCAGAAGACTTATGTTCTGAACTAGAACCTGTTCCTTCCATTTTCTCTGAGATGTAAACCAGTCCTCAAAAATAGGTGTAAACTTGAAACATTAGAGAGAAAAATGAGGAAGAAAAGTAAGAGCAGTAGTACAAGAGAAGAAGATGGAGAAAAGAGGAGGAAGAAGAAGAAAGGTTCGAATAATCCTTCCCTTTCTTCTCTAATCCCTTTTACTAAAAATTAATGTTAAAATAATTATAAGTATGCCCCTAAGTGGGCGGCCAGCTAGGCAATAACATAAAGAGATCAAACAAAAAGAAATAACAGGCCCATTAGCTAACCGGAAAATAGGAAAAAAAATATTACAAGAGAAGATACTAGGRCCCATTCGGCCCAGTCTCTTTATACTCCCCCTCAAGCTGAGCATAGATGTCAATCATGCCCATCTTGCTTATATAGTGTGTCATTTTCCCTCTCGGAACTCTCTTTGTCAAGATATCAGCCAATTGTTCATCTGATGCGATGAATGGCAAACAAACTTCTCCTGAGGAAACTCTTTCCCTTATAAAATGTCTATCAACCTCAATGTGCTTAGTTATGTCATGTTGAACATGATTATGTGCAATATTGATAGCTGCTTGGTTTGTCACAGTAGAGCATCATTGGCTTCTCATAGTCAACCCCCAAATCTTTTAAAAGGGATTGTAACCACAGTAATTCTGACACACCATGTGCCATTGCCCTGTATTCTGCTTCAGCTGAGGATCTAGAAACTACAGACGGTTTATTACTCCTCCATGACACAATATTCCCAGCGACCAGAGCACAATAACCTGAGGTGGATCTCCTATCATCAATACATCCAGCCCAACCAGCATCAGTGAAAACTTTCAGCTTCATCTGTTCATGTTTGGCAAATAGAATACATTTCCCTGGAGTACCTTTCAAGTAACACAGAACCCTTTCTGCAGCAGCTAAATGAGTATCTCTGGGAGAATGCATAAATTGACTAATAACACTTAGTGCATAGGAAATGTCCGGCCGATTCATGCAAAGAGATAACAATTTCCCAAGCAGTCTCTAAAACACCCCCTTATTAGACAAAAGGTCACCATCTATAGTAGAAAGCTTATGATTAGGATCAATAGGAGTGGAAGCATCAGTGAAAGCTTACAGCCTCATGTGCCCATGTTTGGCAAATAGAATACATTTCCCTGGAGTACCTTTCGAGTAACACAGAACCCTTTCTACAGCAACTAAATGAGTATCTCTAGGAGAATGCATAAATTGACTAATAACACTTAGTGCATAGGAAATGTCCGGCCGATTCATGCAAAGATATAA